TCGTATCCAGGCAGCCACCTGACTGCAAGAAAATCTTACTCCCTCTTAGTCTCTATAAAACTTTCTCCAGTCCATTAGTTCCAAGTTTTTGAAAACTACTTTAGAGTTACTATTCTCACACTTCTGTACGCTTATTGCCAGCTAATTTTGTAGCTGTTCGAAGGGAAAGTTATTGCATTTTTAGTATGGGTACCTAAATTTGTCGCCGTGGCGGGAGGCAGCCCAGGTGGGTGTGTCTGTTCAGGGAGGCAACTCAGGAAGAAATGGGTTAACCCTCTGAGCCCCCGCCACCGGTACATTGGTGGTGCGTAAAACTGTCCCTCCCTCTCCTTCTCTGTATCCCTCTCCCTCTCTCTCCGTTTTAGTTGTAGCAAGTGTTTTACAGTACTTGCAACACAATAAAGTCATATAAGTGCCAAAGATTAGAGGTGTTACAAGACAGTAACAAACACAAAAAAGAAGGAGGGTAGATAAGACGATAGATGTTTGATAGGAAAGAAGAAGCAAACCACACCAGAGCACCCGCCAACCATCCATTCTCTTTGTCTATCTCTCTCTCTCTCTCTCTTTCACCCCCTCCCCCTCTCTCCCTCTCTCTCTCCCTCTCCCTCCATCCTTCTCACCCTCCCACCCTCTCTCTCTCCCTCCCACCCTCACTCACCTAAGAATATTGAGAATGACAATGCCCTCAACAGGAGGCAGCTCTATGGCCTTGCCGTCCACCTCCACCTTGATGTTCCTGTACAGGTCCTTGCAGATCTTGCGGTTCACCATCTTGCGCAGCCCAATCTTCAGGTAAACGCCTTTGTTGTGCAACCTGAAATAATAATAATAATAGATAGCATTTGTATAGCGCAAATCCTCGCTCAACAGCAAGCTCTATGCGCTTCACAGTCTATACTATTACCCCAGCAGACCTGAGAGCATTCTGAAAAAACCTCAATTTCCTGGGAAGCATACAGTGTAAGCAGCCATTTATAGGCGCTAAAACACTAACATACTGACAACCTGAACACGCAAAGAAAAAAACAACAGTTTTAATTTTCTCAATTCTAAAGTAGGGTGGGTTTTTTGTGTGCGTATGTGTGTGTCAATCTTTGTTGTGCAACACATCTACCGCACAAAAATGATTTATTGGCAGAAAACACAGATGGGCTTACACGTCTATGTACGGATTGTACGAGCACGGATTGTACGAGCATTGTGTGAGGTAGGAGAAGACTCATGTAACTTCCTATTTACCTCCAGACACTCACTCAACATGTAAATCTATTCCCCTTTTTTTGGGGTCTCATTTTATCATTTCTCAAATGTGTGTTGTTTTATATTGTTTTGGTGGTGTTGTTTTTGGCATTATGTTACTAACTCAACCTGTAAATTCTTTGGCATATCGACAGACCGAAGGACTAGAACCCAAATGGCCGCAGGATCAGAAAAGTAAAGAAAGTAAAGTATGTTACTAACTCCAACTTTTCTCCATCTATCTCTCGATGAAATCCCCCCAATATTATAGGCCAATCAATAGAAATGTGGTTCAATATAGAATGTACATGCAGAAATTCATGAGAAAATATGGGTAAATAAAAAAGTTATGGGAGGTAGAGTGGGGTCACCCCTGAGCAGCCTAGGTCAATGTGGTTTCCCCCCGCACAGGGACTATTTACCTGCGGCATTGAAGGGGTTAATGCAACGAAAAAAGCAAAGCAAAGAAACAACAAAGAGAAGTAGGAGGTGCAGATGAGAGAAAGCACCTCACAACACTGCATTCATTTCTATCACATAAACATGCCATCAAGTTGTTGCTTACGGTAAGTAAGTATGCTTTGTACATTTTGATGAAAACTATTTAAACTCTTCGCTGCAACGCCCGTAGAATTTACGGGCCTGAACCGTGTAGCGCTGTGCCTATGGCCCGTAGAATTTACGGGACTGTGACAGAGGTTGTTTTGATACCAATTATAAGGTAAGTTACTGCTAAAATCTTGTAATTATTATAGAAGTACCTTTCCTTTATGTTTACCTCCTTTTTCCCCCCATTTGAAAGCGTCAGATTCAGATATTAGCTCGAGGAGAATATTAATTAGATCTAGATATATACATCTACAAAAGAAAAATGATTTACAAGCAGTTAACACAGATGGGCTTCCATGTATATATAATATGGATTGATTGTACGAGCATTGTATAAGGTAGGAAAGCCTCATGTCACTTTTTCTTTACCTGCACATACTCACACAACATGTATTCCCCTTTTTATGGTATCAATTTATCATTAATCAAATGTTTCTTTTGCTGTTTGGTGGTGTTGTTTTCGGCATTACCAGGCTTGCCAACTTTTGAGATTCTGAATTCTGGAATTTTGATTACGCTGGAGCGCCACGGACACACACTTCTGTGATAGGCTACTAAAGCTACTAAAAAAAAGCACCCACACCACAAAATCAGCTCTAACAAACCAGTGGAGAAACAGAGAGAGAGAGAGGTGCCGTTTCGGGAAAGGTTCGGGAACGACGATAGCAATTCGGGAATTTCCAGAAAAATTTGGGAAGGTTGGCAAGCCTGCATTATGTTGCTAACTCCAACTTTTCTCTATCTATCTTTACATGATATCCCCCCAAAATCATATCAATGGGAATGTGGTTCAATGTAGAATGTACATGCAGAAATTCATGAGGAAATATTTATAAATAAAAAAGTTATGGGGTGTAGAGTGGGGTCACCCCTGAGCAGCCTTGGTTCAAGGGATTTTCCCAGGCACAGGGGCCTATTTACCTGCGGCACTGAAGGGGTTAAAGGAAACCAAACTCGTGAAGTAGAGAAGTTTTTCTTGGGGGTTTTTTTTTGGGGTGGGGGTGTTTATTTTTAGTAAGAGTTTTACGGCACTTGCAAAACAATAAGGTCATATAAGTGCCAAAGATTAGAGGTGTTACAAGAGAGTAACAAACACAAAAAAGGAGGAGAGCATCAGAGCACCCACCAACCACTCACATAGAAAAGTTTAAGGAGAATGTCTCCTTAATAATAATAAATAACAATAGATAAGTCCACGAGAAAAACAGGCATAGTCACAAACCGGAAATTGTGAAGATGTCAAGGTTAAAAGCTTGTGAACTCATAACTTCAATTTGTTTGATCAGCGGTTTATTGTTATGTTTGTTGAATGGGGAATTTAACAACAATAATCAACCAACAGTTGAACAGAAATACAGTCATGAGTCAACAAAGGTTCAAAATTGATACCCTCACAATTTTCAGTTTGTGACTATTCCCTTTTTCGCATGGACTCCTCCATTGTATTTATACAGCGCATATCCGCACTCTACAGCATGCTCTATGCACTTCACAACTATTATTACCCCAGCAGACCCTAGCATACTCAAAAACATTCTCGGCTTCCCGGGAAGCATACGGTGACAGGTGCGGACTGCACGCGCTCAAACGTTAACAAACTGACAGGATCTTTCACCGTCTATAGCCGGGTTCCCATTCCCACCAGGGTGAAGTGAAGACAACTAGGGTAAGGTACCTTTCCCAAGGACACAACGCCAGGCCCCTGACGGGATTCAAACCCACAACTTTACAGTTGTGAGTCCAAGAGCCTGTCTACTAGGCCACCGAAGCCACATCTCCTCCCTCTTCAAGCATTCCTTTTCTTCTTCAATTCCTTCTTCATACCACTCCTCCACCTCACATGAACTGACCCTAGACATCAGAAAAAACAACAACTGGCATTAAAGAAATTCACAACTGACATCAAAGAAAGTATTTTTTCAGTTTTAGTAGAGGTTTTATGGCGCTCGCAACTGCATAAGGTCATATGAGGGCCAAGGGGTGGATGTCAACAGAGAAGTCCTTACAGGGAATCAGACTTACTCTGCTCACCTCTCTAGCTTCAACAGCACAAAGTCTGCGTCGACTATCAAGGCACCCTGGAAATAGTGGGTCATAAGAGTGTGACAAACATACAAAAGAAGTAGAGGAAAAATGACAATAGTAAGGATTAAGAAAGAAAAAGCAGCAGTTCCCTGTTGTAGATCAGGCACAGTTATGAGCGTGACATTAATGAATCAGCCCATTTACAATTCTACTGTGCAAGAACGAGAAATATCCCCCCTTTGGGAATGGCCAGAAGACACTTCAGTCAGTGGCACCGCCCCGGGGATATCAAAGAAAGTAACAAGTCACGGTCGATATCAGAGAGAGAGTGACGAAGAACTAAATGACGACTGACAACAGACACAGTGACAGATGACGTAAAATAAGTGACAACTGACATCAAAGAAAGTAACATGCGAGAAAACGACGATATCAGAGAAAGTGACACATGAGAGAATGACAGAGTGTGACATACGACATCTGAGAAAGCGACTACTAACATAAAAAAGTAACAAATGAAAAAAAGTGACGATCGATATCAGCGAGAAAATGAAATGACCAAGAAAAAAAGTGACAACACCTGACATCAAAGAAAAAACCAACACTACTGACATCACAGAAAGCGTGAGCGACGCACACACACACACACACACACACACACACACACACACACACACACACACATACCCCCCCCACACACACACACAATGACATACACATACAGAGAGAGAGAAAGCACTAGACAAAACAAGACAAGACAGTCCAACCTGCTGTTGAATTTGTCCGGCTTCTCCTCGCGAGCCATGTGGAAGCCGAGACAGAGCTCTGCGTCAATGCCGATGCCGAAGTAGTTGTTCATGACGAATATGCTGGTCGGGTCCTCCGTGGTGTTGGCGCTGTTTGTGTCGTTGGCGATGGCCATCTTGGTCTCATCCTGCTCCTTCTCGTTCGGATGGAAGATAACAGTCCAGCTGAAACGGGGGAAAAAAAACAACAACACATAAAATCATGTTTTATTTTTAGTAAGAGTTTTACAGCACTTGAAACACAATAAGGTCATATAAGTAAGCGTTGAAGATTAGAGGAGTTACAAGAGAGAAACATACACTAAAAAGAAGAAAGAGAGATCAGGACTATAGATGTTTGATAGGAATGAAGGAGCAAACCACACCAGAGCACCCACCAACCACCCATATAAAAACTTGAACTGGGAACACCCTACACTGAAATCAGCCCTCTTGTCATTGTCTGAAGTTATGGCACTGTTGATCTATTACCTTTGTTTAGTTCTAGTATGGTTTTACGACGCTCGCAACCCCATAAGGTCATATGAGCGCCAAGGTGTGGATGTTCATGGAGAAGTCTACACGGGGAATCAGGCTTACTCTGCTCACCTCTCTCGCCTCAAAAGCACAAAGTCTGCCTTCAACTATCAAGGCACCCCGGAACTAGCAGTTCACAAGAGAGTGACAAACATACAAAAGAAGTAGAGGGAAAATGACAATAGTAAGGATGAGGAAAGAAAAAGCAGCAGTTCCCCCTATATTGTTTCAGCACAGTATGAGCATGACATTGATAAATCAGCCCATTTACAATTCTACTGTGCATAAGGACAAGTTAATATCCCCCCTTTGGGATCTATTGCCTGACCAGAGGTAAATCAGCACCAACTTACATCAGACATTAAAATCTCGAGAGATCAACAGTCGAATTGAGCAACTATCCGCTTCATGATGGAAACTCTCTCCCTCAAACAGGCAATCAAACTATGATCATTGAAGCTGCTGCCATTATTAAAAGAATGTCGCTTAGACCACATATATCAACATTTGAACCTCATTGGCTCATCCAAAATAAAACAGCAATACATTCTATGAGCTTTTTCATTTTCGGTAAGCAAGACAAAAATCACACAGTCCCCAAATAGGGTTGAACCGAACAAACTAAAACAAACATTCTCCCCTCCTCTCTCCTTACCAGTCCAGTTTGATTGATCTCTTTAGTTTTAGTACGAGTTTTACGGCACTTGCAACACAATAAGGTCATATAAGTGCCGAAGATTAGAGGTGTTACAAAAGAGTAACAAATACAAAAAAGAAGTAGGGGAGATAAAGACGATAGATGTTTGATAGAAACGAAGAAGCAAACCACACCAGAGTACCTGCCACAACCACCCACAGTTTGATCTCTTCTGTGTCTTAGACATCCTGACCAAACAAACAAACATTCCCCCCTCCTCTCTCTCCTCACCGGTCCACTTTGACCTCTTCTGCGTCTTTGACACCTTGAACTGAACAAACAAACAAATATTCCCCCCTCCTCTCTCTCCTCACCGGTCCAGTTTGATCTCTTCTGCGTCTATGACATCTCGTAGCACATTGAGCGGGTCCTCCCCTCCGGTGTAGCCCGGGCCCCATCGCAACACTCGCGCCAGATCATTCCCTGCACACCAACACAAGAAGAAAAAATCAGGTCAGTAAGGAGGCAAAACTTACCAACCAAAAAATCCCACCGTCATTATATCCCTGAGCACATAGAAAAGGAACTGGGATGGTAAGTGAAGGTTCTAGTTACTGGAAAAGTAAAAACACCCATTATTTGTTTCGCATCTTCAATATAGCACGATATTCTTTTGTGTACTAAAAATCCAAAGGTTGAGACATTAACAATCTTTGTTAAAAGGTCAATTTCGGTAAGCACTGCTTTTTTTTTTTTCTGAAAGGGAGGGGAGAGGGGGGGCGGAGTTAACAGATTTTTTTTCTAAAGCAACAAAAAAACTGACAAAGAAATGTGTTATAACACTGATGAAATACGTCATTTAAAAAGCATGGCAGAATATTATGATTTGTAAACAAGTGAAGCAAGCGAAAGGCAAGGGTAGGCCCAGAGCAACCTAACAAGGGAATCTAAACAAACGGGTAACCAGGAAAGATGAGGGAAACCTAGCTTTTTTACAAGCATCTGAGCAAAGGAATGAATGGAGAACCATGACCGCTGAAGTCTGTCGCAGATCTGGCACTGGATGATGATGATGATGAAACAAGTGAAGCACAAAGCAGAATATTATGATTTGTACACAAATTGAAGCAAAACTGAAGAATATTATGATTTGTACACAAGTGAAGCAAAAATGAAAAAAAGACAAGACCAAAGACCCAACAACTGACCGGTGCCCAGTGGAACGATGGCCATGGGTGGAGACTGGCACTCGGCGTCCTGGCCCACGTTGTCTAGACAGGAGAGCACCCAGCCCACGGTGCCGTCCCCGCCACACACCAGGATCTTGTAGTAGGGGATGTTACGGAACACGTACAAGCTGTGGACGACACAGGGAGAGAGAGACACAGAGAAACAGGTTAAGTTATAGTCTGTCAGGTTTTGTTTTAGTTTAGCAAGGTTTTACAGCACTCGCAACTGCATAAGGTCATATGTGCACCAAGGGGTGGATGTTTGTTTGTTTTAGTAAGTGTTTCATGGCACTTGCAACACAATAAGGTCATATAAGTGCCGGAGACTAGAAGAGTTACAATAGAGTAACAAACATAAAAAAGGAGGAGAGATCAGGATGATAGATGTTCAATAGGAAAGAAGGAGCAAACCACACACGCAGGCTATGTTACAGAAGGTCACTCGAGAATCTTTGGAAGGAGCTTACTTGGTTCCCTTGCACATATCTCGGTCTCCACTCCACTCTCAGTTTTAGTAAGAGTTTTACAGCATTTGCAACACAATATGGTCATATAAGTGTCCAAGATTAGAGGTGTTACAAGAGGTAACAAACATTTTAAAAATTGCATAAGGTCATATGAGCGCCAAGGGGTGGATGTCAACAGAGAAGTCCAAACGGCAAATCAGGCTTACTCTGCTCACCTCTCTAGCCTCAACAGCACAAAGTCTGCTTCGACTATCAAGGCACCCCGGAAATAGCAGTTCACAAGAGAGTGAAAAACATACAAAAGGAATAGAAGAAAAATAACTATAGTAAGAAAAAGCATGACATTGATAAATCAGCCAATTCACAATTCTACTGTGCGTAAGTACATGTTAATATCCCCCTTTGGGAATGGCCTAAAGACACTTCAGTCAGTAGCACTGCCCTGAGGTAAAAGAACTAACTACGTACCCTGGCAAAGGTCCTCCATTCTCTAGATTGAAGACCTGGTGAGGGTTGAGAAGTTTCCGGAAGGAAGTGATGAGGTCCAGACCTTGGCATCCCCCGCTCTTCACATTGACAAAGACCATCAAGGGTTTCACATAGTCTGGGATCATGTGGGGCTGGAAGAAACACAAAACCAAACATGGGATAGAAACAACGCAGCAACAGTCGGTCACACCGACAAACACAATGCAACAGTCCGCAACCTCAGTGCTTTCTTGTCGTTGATCTCCATTTTTAATAACAGTGAAAACAGTTCATAACAAAGAGTGAGCTTAATACAGGGTGCCCATTATGGCTGGATCGGGCCGATCGCGCAACTCGGTCACCTGAAACTGAAAACAAACACGTCTGTTTTTGAGGGGACTGAGTCGGGCGATCGGCCCGGTCCGCCAATCCCATTCGTAATGGGCACCCCGTATAAAAAGAAGTCATTTTCACTGTTAAAAAAAATGGAGAAACAGCAAGAAAGCACTGGGGTCGCGAGTTGGTCACACTGATAAACACAATGCAACAATCATACAGATATTCCAGAGCAATACTCACTTGTATAAAATGACACTGATATTCCACACTGATACTTGTATATTGCTGCAGGCCAACGACCAAACAATAACATTATTCTTCTTTTAAATCCTGATGCAGTAATAAAAACATTTCTTTATTAATTAACACTTTGCCGCCTCATCTTGCTGATTGGCGATGTTTACCACCCAGTTTCTTTGGGTTTTCCCCAAAATATGATGGCAAAAGTGTAAAGGCCCTATATTTAATACCGCCCTCTGGACGCATACACAGGAATGCTACAATGAATGACTTACAGTAACCTAACCTGAAGTGTTGCTATCGATCTGGTAGCCTAGCCTACAAATTGCTAATTTTGCACATAGAAAGCTTGTCCATTTCCTCCCAGGACCCCCTAAACATCTCCACTCGAGTCTAAAAAAAAGTACTCACGCATCTATTTGACTGTTTTTCACAAGAATGCAAAAAAGTGTGAGGTTGATGAAAATAGGTTCATTTTTAAAAATATTTTAGAGGTATGCTGTTAAAACCATATTATTTTTTTTTACCCACTTTAGGCTAACATCAAAGAAAAGCTTCGTTTGTAGTGACTTCATTAACATGCTGTTAGATTTTATTGGTCATCCGGGTTTTTTTTTTACCCACATGCATTGACCTGAGAAGATTAAACACAGCGGTTTCTTTTTACCTTGTTCTAATGAATAAGCCACAGAGCCAAACCCACAAGTAAATAGAGATACTGATTATTGCACACCGATACTCTCTTGATAACAGTAATACCAACATTCCATACCAATGTATATTATATACAATAACGGAAGGACTTTCGTAATGAGCGACCACCCCAACAAACATAATAAAAAAGAGACCTAGATCTAATTCTAACCCTAACCGGAATCCTAACCCTACCCCTGACCCTACCCATACCCCTCTATTCTACTCTGTGGTCGCTCATTACGGAAGTCCTCCCTACAATAACGATACTATCATTCTTGATCGATATATTTATACACTTTAAAAAATTGGAACTCTTGATTGAAACTGCTACTCACTTGTATATTAGGTAGTAGTAGAGCTAAGATTTGCTTGTCATCAAAGGTGGACTCCTGTAATATATTGAAGACTGTAGTAGCAATCTCAGGTATTGTGTAGATGAGGACCAGAGAGCCGTACTCGTAGTAGATTCCGTCAAACCGCTCCCACTTGTTCTCTGTGGGGGGACAGAACACAATCATGTTTTAGCAAGAGTTTTAGTTTTAGTAGAGGTTTTATGGCGCTCGCAACTGCATAAGGTCATATGAGCACCAGAAGATTAGAAGTGTTACAAAAGAGTAACAAATATAAAAAAGGAGGAAAGATAAAGACGATAGATGTTGATAGGAAAGAAGAAGCAAGTAAGAGTTTTACGGCACTTGCAACACAATAAGGTCATACAAGTGGTGAAGAAATGATGAGTTACAACAGAGTTTTACGGCACTCGCAACTCCATAAGGTCATATGAGCGCCAGAAGATTAGAGGTGTTGCAAGAGAGTAACATAAAAAAGAGAGGCCCCCCCCCCCCTCCCCCGGTCATATTGTTCAGACAACAGTTAGTTTTAGTAAGAGTTTTACAGCACTTGCAATACAATAAGGTCATATAAGTGCTGAAGAAGGGATGTTTTAGTTTTAGTAGAGGTTTTACGGCACTAGCAACTGCATAAGGTCATACATGAGTGCCAAGGGGTGGATGTCAACAGAGAAGTCCAATCGGGGAATTGGGCTTACTCTGCTCACCTCTCTGGCTTCAACAGCACAAAGTCTGCTAAAGAAGGTAAGTGTTACAACAGAGTAACAAACACAAAAAAGAAGGAGGAGAGATAAAGACAATACATTTTTTGACAGGAAAGAAGGAGCAAACCACACCAGAGCACCAGCCAACCACCCACTTAGTAAGAGTTTTCTGGCACTTGCAACACAATAAGGTCATACAAATGGCGAAGAAATGATGTGTTACAACAAGGTAGCACATACGCCTGGTTTCAGAAGTAAAATTAGCGAGAAAATGGTTTAAGATTCCTCAGAAACTGCAAATTTACATATTTTGAGCCTTTAATCAACGTTTTTCCCTAAAATCCACATAGAAAAGTGTTTTTGAACGGACATACAAGATGTTGAACCAAAAAACAAAAATTCGAAAAAAATTTCCAAAGTGGCCAAAAATGCTGATTTCTCGGGTTTAGTTATTTCGACAAGTGCCTGATGTCACCACGATACCTCAAATGCGTCCATACTGTTTGAAAGTTTTTGGCTGGAGGTATAATTAAGGACTACGTTGGAGAGATTGGAACAGACGGGTGGAAGAAACCATATTATATGTAATTTATGAGGAGTTCTAAGCCAAGAAATGTGGGGTGAACCATGATAGCCAATGCCAGATCCAGATCTGGTATTTGAAGGAAGAAGCAGAGGAGGAGGAGGAGGAGGACAGAAGGAGGGGAGGAGGACAGGAGAAGGAGGGGAGGAGGAAGATGATGAGGAGAAAGAGGAACATCAGCATCAGAAGAAGAACAAAAAGAAGAACAAGAAGAAGAACAAGAAGAACAAGAACAAGAAGAAGAACAAGAACAAGAACAAGAACAAGAACAAGAAGAACAACAAGAACAAGAAGAAGAAGAACAAGAACAAGAAGAAGAACTAGAAGAAGAACAAGAACAAGAAGAAGAACAAGAAGAAGAACTAGAAGAAGAACAAGAACAAGAAGAAGAACAAGAACAAGAAGAAGAACAAGAACAAGAAGAAAACTAGAAGAAGAACAAGAACAAGAAGAAGAACAAGCACAAGAAGAAGAACTAGAAGAAGAAGAAGAAGAAGAAGAAGAAGAACAAGAAGAACAAGAAGAAGAACAAGAAGAACAAGAACAAGAAGAAGATGAACAAGAACGGGATAAAAAACATGATGAGGAGAAAGAGGAACATCAGCATCAGAAGAACAAGAAGAAGAACAAGAACAAAAAGAAGAAGAACTCTCTCTCTCTCTCTCTCCCTCTCCCCCCTCTCTCTCTGTCTTT